CGAAGAAGAAAGGAGAAGAAGGAGAAGAAAGAAGAAGAAGAAGAAGAAAGAAAAAGAAGAAGAAGGAGAAAAAGGAACGGACGGACGAAGAGATAAGGTGTTTATTTAATGGTCCCATTCCAAAAAGGATTGGGCTTCGGACCCAAAATACCTGATTAAATGGTCATAACTTGAGCTCTGTAACTCCGATTCGCGAGCCGTCTGAACCGACGCGATCACAAAAATATTTCCTACGAGATGACATAAAAGTTGGGCTTAAAATCCAAATTATAATTTTAACCCCTTATTGGGCCCAATTCGTAATCAATTGCTCTAACAATTTAATTAATTCTTTTGGGCCAGATTTCGGGGCGTTACACTTTGACTCCATCCAGCTAGGAGTCTAACACTCCAATCGCTCTAGAGAATAGTAGACAATATTATTCTTTTTATTTGTTAAGATTTTTTAAATGTAGTAATCTTTTTGTATTCAATTATTGAGGTTCAATATCTATCTGTTAGAGTGTCATCCCACATCAGAAGTTCAAGAGCAAAATAATCGGTATATAAGCTCTTGAGTTGAACTAACTAATCGATTGGATTCAATCTTTTAATGTGGTTCAACCTTAGTGTCTTATTACCCAATCCAGATATCACTATCTCATCCTAAATTCTATCATGACATCAGAGCAGGTTTTGGCCCACCTCGTTTGTCAAGGTGTCCGTCTAGACGTTCATTCCTAGCGGCCCGTTAGTCTTTAGCCCAGTTGTCCGTATGGAGTATGTACCCAATGGCTTGTGACCCGTTTAACACGATTGCTCGTCTGAAAGTCCATACCCAGCGGTTCGTGGTCCTTTAGATGTTGGTGCTCAAATAAAAAAAATCAAGGGAATGTGAGTTCATTCGCAAGTGGTTAACCGGTTAGATTCAAAATGGCCCGGTTGTCCACTTGAAGGGCAGTGTTTGAGTGTCATCCCACATAGGAAGTTCAAGAGTAAAATAATCGGTATATAAGCTTTTGAGTTGAACTAACTAATCGATTGGATTCAATCTTTTAATATGGTTCAACCCAGATGTCTTATTACCCAATCCACTTGTCTATGCCCATTCTAAATTCTATCATGGTATCAGAGAAGGTTTTGACCCACCTCGTTTGTCAAGGTGTCCACCTAAACATTCATTCTTAGCGGCCTATTTGTCTGTAGCCCAGTTGTCCGTATGGAGTATGTACCCAATGGCCTGTGGCCAGTTTAACACGATTGCTCGTCTGGAAGTCCATACCCAACGGCTCGTGGTTCTTTAGGTGTTGGCGCTCAAAAAAAATTTCAAGGGAATGTGAATTTATTTGCAAGTGGTCAACCAGTTAGATTCAAAATGGCCCGGTTGTCCACTTAAGGGGAGTATTAGAGTGTCATCCCACACCGGAAGTTCAAGAGCAAAATAATCGGTATATAAGCTCTTGAGTTGAACTAACTAATTGATTGGATTCAATTTTTAATGTGGTTTAACCCAAATGTCTTATTGCCCAATCCAGTTGTTAATATCTCATCCTAAATTCTATCACTATCCACGTTTTAAAATTAGAAATTTGACTCTATTACAATGTAATATCTGTAAAATGGTATATGAATAAAAGATATAAATTACACATTTTAAAAAATGTATAAATTACAAAGTACATAAAACTTCTATTCCACAAAAGAAAAAGGTATCGAGAGTATCTCCTTTTATCAAATGATCAATGAAAAGATACAAACAATAATTACTAAGAGATCGTAATAGTATTAGGGGCATCCATTTTGGGACGAAAGGAGTAGAAGAAACAAAACTTTACTCTTGAAGCAAAATTTGACATATCATACTCTCTTAGTCCTATCGTCACAATTACTATTCTACTCTCTCGTTAACTTTTGTTTGTTTGCATATTTTTTTGATCATTTGATAAAATTAAGTATTCTTGTCTCCTTTTATTTTGTAGAATTTTCTACGTAGTTTTTAATAACTATGTAATTTATACTTTTATTTATAAAAAATTTTGTAAACAAAGTAGTTTTAGGATATATGCGATTTTATTTTTATACAAACAAACAAAAGTTATCAAGAATCGTAATAGTAACATGAGCATTCATTTTGGGACGGAAGGAGTAGAAGGAATAAGAAGAAACTATATTTTACTCTTCAAGCAGAATTTGACACATCATATTCTCTCCGTCCCATAATTATCGTTACAATTACTATTCTGGTTTCTCGATAACTTTTGTTTGTTTGCATGTTTTCTTTGATTATTTGATAAAATAAAGTATTCTTGTCATCTCTTGTTTTGTATAATTTTCTATATAATTATTTAAATACTATGTAATTTGCATTTTGTTTTTTACCAATATAATTTGTAAACAAAATAGTTTTAAGACAGATGCGATTTTATTTTTATGCAAACAAACAAAAGTTATCCAGAGGTCGTAGTAGTAACAAGAACATCCATTTTGGGACGAAAGAAGAAGAAACAAAACTTTACTCTTCAAGCAAAATTTGACATATCATACTTTTTCAGTCAGAACTATCGTCACAATTATTATTCTGGTCTCTCGATAATTTTAGTTTATTTGCAAGTTTTCTTTGATTATGTGATAAAATAAAACATTTTGTCACTTCTTGTTTTGTAGAATGTTTTATGTAATTTTTAAATACTACTCCCTCCGTCCCCCTATATTTGTCTATTTTCATTTTTGCACACCATCCAATGCACTTCTTTAATCCATTTTATCTTGTAATTTGTATATTAAAAAATTATAAAAATTATATATTAATAATCTATATGTTAAGACAAATCAAACAAGATCACACATGACTATATTTAGACTTACACATTGAGAGAATTTGATGAGTCAAAGTGCTTAGATGAACAGTTTCAAAAATCAAATGTGGACAAATATAGGAGGACGGAGGGAGTATATAATTTGTATTCTTGATTTCTATACTAATTTGTAAATAAAGTAATTTTAAGAGAGATGTAATTTTACATATTGTTCGAAGTGAGAGGATAAATCTAGACAACAAAATGGCAATTGATGATGACATTCTAAAGGTTACTAGTTGCACTCCACCTCATTTTTATATTTCATTATTTTCCTAAAATGCCCTATACACTTCTTCTTTTAGGTACTTCCCTCACCACTCCATTGCTCTTAAGAAAATTAAATTACTGATGTATATACTCTCTCTATCCTGAATTAGATTACCCAATTCAAAGAATGTGTAAAATCTCATGTTTTTTAAATTTAATTTATTTACAAATTGGTATAGAGTTACAAAAATGTTTTATTTTATCAAATGATCAATAAAAACATAGAAACTGATAAAAGTTACCAAAAGACCAGAATAATAATTGTCTAATCTATTTTAGGATGAAGAGAGTATCTATTTGCTCATTCATGCATTGATTTAAAAAAATCCACATGCCCCAAAATAGCTTTTTCACTTTTTCTATCATTTTTTTTGGAAAAGAATATATGCTCTAAAATAATTATAATCACTTTTTTTTACTTATTCCTCCATTCCTTTTAACTATCATATTTGCTTTACGTGCCAAAATTTGACTAACTATTAATAAAAATATATAATGAATTAAAATATAAAAATCATACCAAATCAAAAAATTATTTTTAATGTATTATTTTTAACAATTTCTTGTTAATATTTTTTAAAAAATATTGTTGGTCAAACTTTGACATATCATACTCTCTCAGTCCCAACATTATCGTCACAATTATTATTCTAGTCTTTCGATAACTTTGGTTTGTTTAAATGTTTTCTTTGATCATTTGATAAAATAAAATATTTTTGTCACTTCTTGTTTTATAAAATTTTCTATATAGTTTTTAAATACAATATAATTTGTACCTTTTATTTTTATATAAATTTGTAAACAAACTAATCTTAAGAGAAATGTGATTTTATATGTTGTGTGAAGTGAGACAATAATTTTGGACCGTGGGAGCGTACAACAAAATGGCAATTGATATTGATATTTGATACTCTAAAAGTTACTCCACTTTGTTTTTATATATTTGATAACTCTAAAAGTTACTACTTGCACTCCACTTTGTTTTTATACTCCCTCCGTCCTAAAATTAACTTCTCATTTGACTTTTCACGGTCTCCAATGCGATACTTTGACCATCAATATCTCAATTTTTATATAAATATATTTTATAAAAATTATATATTTCAAAACTATATTTTAAAATGAATCTATTCCTAATAAATTTATATGAAAATTCAATGTATTTTTTCCTTAATCCACGGTCAAAGTTTAAAAAGTTTGACTGCAAAAGTCAAACTGGGAAATTAATTTTAGGACGGAGGGAGTATTTCATTATTTCTCTAAAATGCCCCTGAACACTTTTTTTTGGGTACTTCCCTCACGACTCCATTGTTCATAAGAAAATCAAGTTACTTCATTATTGATTTGTATACTCTCACCCCCAGCCCCCAATATTAGGTTACACAATTCAGAGAACATATAAAATCTCATGTTTTTTAAATTTAATTTATTTACAAATTAGTATAGAAATACAAAAATATAACTTACATATTTAAAAATAATATCAAAAATTTTATAAAATAACTGGTAACAAAAATATTTTATTTTATCAAATGATCAATAAAAAATACAAACAGATAAAAGTTATCAAGAAGTCAGAATGAAAATTGTGTAATCGATTTTACGATGGATGGAGTATTTGTTTACTGATTCATGCATTGATTTTTTCAAAAAAAATTCCACATGTCACAAAATAGCTTTTTCACCTTTTTCTCTCATTTTGAAAAGAATATATGGTCTAAAATAATTATTATCACTCCCTCCATTCCTTTTTAACTATCAATTTCGCTTTCGCTTTGCCTGCCAAACATTTGACTAATTATATACGGAGTATAAAAATATAAAATGAATTAAAATATAAAAATTATACCAAATCAAAAACTATTTTAATATATTATTTTTATATAACTTTTTGCTAATACTCCCTCCGTCCTAAAACTTTCTTCCCATTGCGCAAAATGAAGAAAAATCCCAAGTTTTTTCAATCTATTTTATTTAAATATTGGTATAGAAATAAAAAATAAAACATACATATTTAAAAACTACATCAAAAGTTCAACAAAACAAGTGGTCACAAGAATATTTTATTTTATCATATAGGCCATGAAAAAACACAAATAAATATAAATTCCCGTGAAGTTGGAATAGTGCTTTGGAAAGAAAGTTTTAGGACAAAGGGAGTATATTTTAAGAGATATTGTTGGTCAAACTTTAGACTACTTCCTCCGTCCCAAAATATTCACAACATTTGCTTTTTCAGCAGTTGCGGGAACTTTTGTTTATTTCTACGTTTTCATTGGTTATTTGATAAAATAAAATATTCGACACCTCTTATTTCGAAAAACTTTTCATGTAGTTTTTTGATATGTAAATTTTATTTCTTATTTCTATACTAATATGTAAATAAAATGAATTGAAAAAACTTGATATTTTGCCTCGTGAATACAAATGTAGCAAATATTTAGGGACGGAGGGAGTATAAAAGTGAACAAGACAATTAAAAAGGAATGATGAGAGTAACATTTTCCCTAGTTCTAACATACAATCCCAATCCTTTTTGAAAATAAACTTATATTCAAATTATGAAAAATAGTATTTTGACAAATTTGTGGTAAAATATATACTACATCCCTCCCAATGCAGAGTTCATTTTGACTTTTTGAATCAGAATTGACCAACTTTGATCCTAAATTAAATAAAAATTACATCGCATATATTAGTACCAAATAATTTCATTAGATATATCATGCTAAAAACTTTAAAATTTTATTTCATTGCATTAATGTGTAATACAAATTTAACAAATTTGGTAAATTTCAGTTTTGCATTGAAAACTGAAAAGCTGTCATCAAGTCCAAAAGAGAATAATTGGTGATTTGGTACATTTTAGGGAAAAAAGGCTTACTAAAACGAGTAGATGAATAGTGCATAATAACATCAATGTAAGTGCATAACCTTATGATGCAAGTACAACCTAAAGCATACAAAGGGTCTCAATCTTTCAAGTGCAAAACTTATTCATATCTATTTTAAGAGGAGAAAACCCATTCAGCCCAGATTTTCTGTACAAAAAACAGTGTACAATGTTTGGCTTTCAACTCAACAAAAGTATCCCATTGTAATCAACTGCGTGAACCAGGAATGGGTGACGCACCTTAGCTATTGTCTATAATTTGACCAAGAAATCGGGCAGCCATGGGAGTTTCCCTTCATGTTTTGCATAGTATACAGCCATTGCCAGTAAAATGACGAAAAGAATGATCCATAAGCTGAGTCCTGCAACAGTAGTGAAGAATTGTGTGCATAATTGCATATTAATCCCAAAAACCAACTCAAACATATGTTTTTTATTTGGGAATTGGTAGTGTCACAGAAACTACAAACCATTTTTACTGCCATTGTCAGTGATAAGTGTCACCCTTGCACTTGAATCCATCGACACAGAGAGCAAAGCCCTAGAAACCGCACAAAGATCACTTGGTGTGTCGTGTGTATATGTACTTAGACACATTCTGTGTGTGTGTGTGTGTGTTAATAGCATACATAACCAGCTAAAGAACAACAACAACAACCCAGTTGAATCCCAGCCAGTTGAATCCCACTAAAGAAGTGCGTTGTAATAAGTTATCAGAACCTTGAATCATCAGAAAATGCTAATGCGGTCGTGGGACCAATATGTGCTTTCTTAATAGTCTTAAGTGCCCCCATGTTGCCGGCCCTCAAGATACGAACATTGCCTTCACTGGTCCCACTGCAAAGCAAATTAGCATTTCTACGAATAAGTCGATTTGTTCAAACATAAATAACATATGCAGAGAATGTGGTTATGTCTGGCACTGGAAAAAGTGATTCTAATGTGGTATAATCATTTACGAAGTATCATGTTACTTTTTTCAACCTTTATAAAATCTCAAACTTAAATCAAGATACAAACTAAGCCCTACAACCCATCCCCCCCCCAAAAAAATCTTCTTCATCCAAACAGATCCTAAGTCTCACATTGCAAGGAGCTTCCCATCAGCTGAAACATTAAAGGCTGAAATTGGTTCACCAGCAACCAACTTTGACCTCATCCTCTCCCACGAAGAGGTGCTCCATTCCACAATACTTCCTCCTTGAGCTACACGTGAAGGAACAAATCTCATTTATCCTTCTAGATTTGTACTGAAACTGAGGGAAACATCCAAAGTTACGTGTTTACCCCGTGTTGCAGTGACATAGATTGTCTGGTTATGGTCACTACTTCGTGAAAACCTACAAAAGCCAAACTTCTCATCCTGGTTTTAGAAAAACACCATGTTAGAAGACAACGGCAAAAATGAAATAGAAGTGGGAGGATAACAAGAAAGTTCAAATACAACGAATAAGAACAATATTGGATGCATTGACAAAACACTTTTAGAAGAACTGCAGAATTATAAATGAAAGGATAAGAATACTAAGTGGCCACTTGGTAGCCACTTTTTTGCTTATTAGCCTTATCTGCCAGACTCTTTAACCGAACATTACCTTATTTGTTTGTGCGCTCAGATTTCAGAATTGAGTAATAATGAAAAAGGAGGGCTAGACGTACTTTGGCTATATGAGTGAAGCTGCTCAAAATGATCATATATTCATATTACCCATTAATCACACATTTGTTTATTTTATCAGTAAAATATATTTTAAATGTATCTTTTTACAATTCAGAAATTTCAACATCATCAATACTACTATACTAGCAACAAACAATTTCAGGAATCAGGACACAAGTTCTGCAAGCTAAACAATATCAGCCTTACAAATGGGCTCTAAAGTCTGAAGTGGAAACAATCTAAGAGAAAATATGCCCTCTAGAACGAACCAGAAGGTATAACAAGTAGTGATGTGCCAGCCATATTCTGACCCACTTTATGCAATCAAACATTCATCAGGTCAAGTTTTATGAAAAAAAGACACAAGTAGGAGCAAGCTTCTGCAATATAATCCCAACACTGTTTTGGTCAGGGGATCACAATGAACACAGCCTTACCCCTGTAAAAACCAAGGGGCTGTTTTTGTTAGACCCTTGCTGCATTTACTAACCAAAACTTCATAGAAAGTAAAAAGCAAAGGAACTTCAAGCTGCCTTTTTTATTTAGATATTGACTACCACAATACAAAGGATGACAAGCTTTTGAACCCCAAGGTATGATGTTGAAAATGTAAGTCTTACATCTTTCTTCTGCAAAGAAATCACGGATGCTAATGTTGAGACATTCCAAACCCTACAACAGCCACTTCCCACAGATGCAAGAAATTTGCCATCAGGGCTGCAGAGATAATCAAATCAACCCAATTAAAAGTCTAGATTGTATTATGTTAAGATCGTAAGGGTATTGATGGTATGAAGGTATTGATAAGAAAAAGAAACCACCACAAACCTGAAATCTAAATCTTTTACAGAATCATCATCCATCTCATCAATAATAATTTCCATGCTAGGCCATTTGAAAACTCTTAGCTTGCCATTCTGCTCTGCATAAAAAATTAAAATCAAGAAAGGTTTTTCGTTTTACAAAAACAATATTCGCAGCATTTTAGAAGTCACACTTAAATAAGGAAATAGAGCTTATCAATTAACACAAAATGAAAGAAAGTGGTTTTATCTAAAAGAGGTGAAAAGGGAAGCAAGTGTCCATAATTCCATATACACGTATGCATACGCACCTTGTTCAATAGCTCATGGAATGAAACTTTACAAAAAGACAATGACAATTCCACTTTCTGATTTGCTAAAATTCCAAGTCCAACCCTAGACATTTTTGGGCCCTGAAAATATTGTACGGACATACTTTTTCCTACCTCTGGGATACCCTTCCTAAACAATTCGGCAAGTTATGCTAGTATGCTAATCAGTTCTATTGAAGCTTTTTCTGTTTTATCTTTCACAATTCAGAATAGAGAGATCTTGTACAAACATACAATGTTGTGAACGGTGAAGCAGAACAAAATATTGTCAGTAGTAGAAAAGAAGACATCTACCTCACCACCAACAGCAAGTAGAGAACCCTCACTGTTAAATGTTAGTGCTAATTGCTGACCAATGTCTTCCAAGTGTTTAAGAACTCTCTCGGATGATTTTAGGGTCAATGCACTATCATCTGATTTTTTTATCGCATCCCACTCGAACCATCTGCAAGAGGGAAACCGAAAATTAAGTGAAATGGTTTCAACGTTCACAAAAACATAGATTCAGTTTGGAAGTTCAAAAGGTTGAAAGAGTTAAAAAGCACAAAATCTAGCATTGTATAATGTATAACTGTATATGATAAAAAGACAACAAAACAACAAAACCAGCTTATTCCCACAAATGGGGTCTTGGGAGGGTAGGATGTACAATGCACGCACACCTGACCTCTACTGTAAAGGATGGAGGGGCTATAAAGACTGAACATTTCAAACTGTAATGTGCTACTTCGTACTTCTGAGACAAACCCATCTCTCCTTTTTTATTCCCCTCATTTCCTAACTTCGATTCCTTTTGCTCCTGCTAATGGCAAGGTGGTAGCTATTTTCCACCCACCAAGCCTTTCATACAACAATTTCAAAATGATAAAATAACACAGAAGAAAAATCCTACCACTCGATCTATTACTTGTCTACTGCAGTGATACTCTCAATACCTGCAATATTTATGAAGTTTACCTGCAATTTTCTGGAAAAGAACAAATGAGACCTTCTCCTCCAGGGTGTGCAGCAATCCTATAAGGCAGATCAGTACCAGTTCCAAGCCTTGCCACCTAAGAGGAAACCCAGTTCACATATTTAACAAGTATCAAAGTTCATCCTCAAGGGCAAAGTATATGAGTTTGTACTAAAAAAATATCTTTCCAAGGCCATTAGTGAAATGCAAAAATTGGGAGGTTTTAAGGATTTCAACATTTACCAATTTCCTATTTAGTACCCTTTGTTTCAGCTTATCTACCATCATTCCACAATGGCAATTTTCTGAATTTCTAGTTTAGCCAGATACTCTGATGGCCAAACTGTCTAGTAAATACCTAAACAGACATCTTTGCTACTTCTTTTCCTTTCCATCCCACTCAATATTTTTTCTTTTTAGTTCATATCATATTATCATATGCACATGTGTGTGTGTGTGTGTATCTATATGCATCTATTTGTGGATGTATGTCAGTACAGGACCTGTGTATTCAGAACAATGATAGGAAGATGAAAACAGTACTAAAATAGTAGAGCATAAAGAATATCGAAAAGCACAAAGAATAAACCACTCACCGGTTGATCGGATAAAAGGTAGGAATTGAAGTCTACTTGAACAAGAAGAATAGCATTTGGGATGCCGCTACGCCCTTCACCACCCCCTCCGGCCAAGGCAACATAGTTGTGGGCAGGGAGTGATGACGGGTCATCAGCGGTATCCTTACTGCCACCATCTCCATCTGGCATCTGTTTGGAAGCGGATCTTATTGCACAATGTGGGACCCATGCAACCCCGTAGATTGGTACTGCATATTTCTTCTGTCTTTCATCATCAGCCATGCCAGTTTGAGACGTTGATCCTTTTGTCTTATACACACAGATTCAGTTTGCTTTGCAAATTTCTCTGCCAAAAGTGACTGAAGGAACATTATCAAACATAAACGAATACTCTCCATTAGAGAAGCAGCCATGTTGAATGATTGCTAAAGTATCTGTCAAAGTTTTAGGTGAACTTTGGTATTTGCACTTCATGCTTATCTCAAGATTTAACTTTGCACAGCAAGTTTTTTTTACTCCGCACAAATATGCATAAAACACTCATGTTTACCTCTAAGATTTAACTTCATGATTATTTTCGTTGACTTGGTACAAATTTGAGATCCAGCACCCATGTTTACTTCCAAAACTGGTCTTTACACACCGCATGGGAGCAGAGTAAAAACGGGGGGGTGCAAAATCATGTATTTGTCACAACTCAAAAACATTGGTGCCGCAACAACAAACCCAATCCCGACCCTGTGTGATAAACACTGGTGCAACTACCAAATTTCTTTTTTATTACGAAGTATTTATAAATTGGGGTATTTTTTGTTTTGTGTTGTTGGTCCAAGAACATGTGAGGTGTGAGCTATGCATTCGTGCAGAGAATTTCTTTACTTGCATCAAAACTCCAACTAGTAACTACAGCAATTAATAACACTCGTAGCTATTTTATGTGCTCACTCTATAAATTAAACTAAAATGTTCACTTTTTCCTAACAGCAATCCAACATATCTGCAATAAAAAATATTTCGCTTAAGCAATCATTGAAAAACAAATGGAAAAATGCATATTTATCAACGTATCATATAATGTTAAAATCTAAACACAAACATGTAACAATATACATCCTAATTTCTCTGCTTCAAATGAAAGCATTCTATATTACAAAATTGAAATAAATGTAACGATACAAATACTCATCTAAATTACTAAAACATGATCTGTGCAATGCTGTTTCACACACAACTTCGAAAATGAAGGGCTCATAGAGGATCTTCAGAACAGTGTCTAAGATTGGGAAAATTGTAAAATAGATATAAAACTTCAATTAATGATAAAAAAACATCTAAAATTTGCGTTTTACTGAATCAAGACTCGCTTTTGGCAAATGGGTGGAAGTAGAAGAAGGTAAGATTGGAGAATAGAGCTTAGAAAATGAAATACCTGGACTGATCCCTGATAAACGAACAGATCGGTGCGATTGTTGCTGTTCTCGCACGATACTGGTGCGGATCCTGGGCCAAATACTTTTTCCACTTTGAAAAAAGGACATGCTACATGCTCCCCACCCTTTACCAACTTGCCTCCACCCACTTCTCTACCACATATTTATCTCTACCTATTCTCCACCCACCCTCTAATTTTAATTTTCTTGCCTCCCTACCACATGTTTATGTAGGGGGCATGGGTGATAGCAAGGGTGGAGGTTTTAGCATTTTCCTTGAAAAAAATGGTAAACACTTTTTTTTTCAAAATTTATTTCTAAAATTTTTATAATTTCGAGATGTTGGGCAAAGAGAGGACTAAGGGGCTGTTTAGGAATAGCCTTGGCATTAGCGTCAGCGTTTTGGATAAAATTTTAACGGTATAGATTATTTTGAAAATGCTGTCCGTAGATAGCATTTTCAAAACGCCAACGCCAACGCCAACGCTGTTCCCAAACAGGCCCTAAGGCTTCGTTCTGTTCAATTTATTTTTTTTCTAGTTCTGGCCTGATATGATCAGATCTCATCTGATTGAATCTGATCTGATCTGACTGAATTTGATCTGATTTGATTAATTATGATTTGACTTAAAAATTCAAAATAATTTAATCTTACTTTATAATGACTTTTGAAATTTGTAATGATAATTCATATTATAATTTGATCTATATTGTTTTATTTTATGATTATTTTTTAATGAAATAAAATTAGTTAATTCATATATTAGAATAATCATTCATATTATAATGTAATAATATTTTTTTATTTTATAATTATTATTTATTAAATAAGAATATTGATTTAATATTTTAATAATTAGGTCATATATACATTAGAATAAATATTTAATTCATATATACATTAAAAAGTAATTAAATTTAGATAATCAATATAGAGAAGAGATATTATTTTTATTAAAATATCTCATCCCTATAAAATATCAATGTTAAGCAAAGAAATAATACATTAGATTGACATTGTCAATATATTTTAAAAATAATTTTTCCGACGTCTAATAATTAAGGATTACTTTCTTAGTTTTCTATTCAACTTGTTTATAAAGTTTATTCTTTTTCATTTTTAAAAACGAAATTGTGCTTCATATCATTTTATTTTTCTCTATATAAATTATAATTGCACAAAAGTTTCATTCTCTTTCTTCTTATATTTTTTTAAAGAGAAATTAAATTTATTTTTTGAAAGAATTTCATAATGTGAAACAAGTAAAAACTATGAAATTTAAAAAGTATGGAGTAAGAACGATAATGATAATGATGATAATAGTAATAAATATTCTTAATAATAATAATAATAATTCTTGATTGGATCTGATTGGATCTGCTGTGATTAAATCTGGTCAAATCTGATTTTAATAAGAATAAAAAAAGCAGAAAAAATAAGTTGAACGGAACGAGGCCTTAAGCTCATTTCTGATTTTCCATTTATTTTGTTTTTCTCTATTTGTTTCTTTAAACAATAAAATATTTTTAATTTCTTTTAAACTTTGTTTTTTTATAATTTTTTTAAAATTCAAAATAGTTATTCATAAATAAAAAAGTAAAATTTACACAAAAAGTACTAAAACATATATATCTTTTCCCAATGTAGTACTTAAACTTTATTATTCCTTAAGTAGTACTTGAATAATGTCTAGTGGCGGGAACAATGTATATTAATGGTGGACATTTAGTTTGAACAATGTTCAGTGACGCTGGACATTTACTTGAACAATGACTAGTGGATATTAAACAATGGTAACTACATTGGGAAATAAAAACATATTGTACTAAATTGGAAAAGTCACTATTTTTAGTACTATTTAGGTAAATACCACATTAAAAAATAAATGAAGTGAAAAATAATTAACATATACTACATTTTTCTCAAATTTTAAAAAATTATTTTTTGTTTTCCAAAATAAAAACGTAAACTTTTTTAAGAACTTCATAAAATAAGAAGTAAAATAGGAAATACGGAGTATCCTTTTTCACGACATCTCAATTCTAAAAACTTTTTTTAATGATAACGTTCTTAGATATGATGAATTATCCTCGAAATATCAAAATGTTTGTGCATTATTTTTATCTACAAAAAAGGAGTTTGACAATGTGAATAATGAGGTTTGATGATAATATAACAATATAGGTAGTGGTGGTATGATGGTGAAGTGTGGTGGTGGATCATCAGCCGACAGTGGTCATTGCCAACGACCGACGATGGAGCCACCACATTCACGGGAACACCCCGCCCTTCCCCTTTCGTGACCACGGGCCGTGAGCCCCACCATGGTCACATTCACGGTCACTGACCGTTTGCCTTTTTTCTTTGCTTCCAACGGTCATGTTGGACCAAAATTTTAAAAAAATTATTTTAAAATGTAATAAATTCTAATTTGAAACCTATTAGCTATTACCTCCCTCTTCTATTTAAGCACCCAATTCTAACCATTTTTAAACACAATAACTTCTCTGATATCTTGATTTTTATTATATTCTTTTACAAATTATATATTTCTACTCACACCATGAATCCAAACAATTCAAACAACCTTTATTTTTACAATAATTGTCCCCCTCTCAGGCCAAACAATCCGAATGCCGAAAATTTGTTCGATAATTGTTATCGTTCAAATTTTGTGGTATTTGAGTATTGGACTCCATCACCGTACCAAATTTCTTCTCGGGTGGCTCTCAAGGTTTAATGTTTCTGAACTTGATTCCGAAGACGCAACGTCATTACATGCCGGAGACGCAACCTCTGCATGACCAAGTTACTCAGCTCGAGGCGGAGTCCAGGAAGAAGAAAATAAGCCTCAAAGAAAAAAAGCTCCAGTTTCAAACCCGCGGAGTCGGTGCCGACGAAAAAAACAAGTTTCTTTTGGTTGGATGAGGAGGAGAGTCCGTTGGCTAAACATTCGATCGATGTGTCTGAGGATCCAATTCAAGGTATTGAAAATACTTTTTTTAAAGTTTTTTTTTTGGAACGTTTTTTTAAAAAAATTGACTAAGAAATTTTTTGAGTAAATTTCATAAAAGGTCCCAAGTTTTAGGTCGTTTTACATGTTTAGTCCCTACATATCAGATATTACTAATTTAGTAACCAATTATTATATTCATTTCCACGAATGGTCCTTTGTTAACATTTTCGTTAAGAACGTGGATAAAATTATAAATTCATACTTCTTTCTCTCCTCAATTAAGCTTTCTCCCTCCCCTTGCACTCCTTTCCCAAACTCGTCGCTGAGTCTGAAGCTTTGAACCCAAAACCGAAATTATCACTCCTCTCTCAATTGTTTGTCTAACTGGTGGAACCCAAATTCGAAACCAATGACCTTCATGGATGAGTTTTAATGTTTATTTTCTTTGCAATTTCTTGAAACTAACCGATAAAACACATCCATAAAGCTTATTGATTTTGATTTTAGGTTCCACCAGGAAGACTAATAATTGAGAGAGGAATGATAATTTCAGTTTTGGGTTTAGAGCTTCAAACTAAGAGACGAGTTTGGGAAAGAGTACGAGAGAAGGGTGGAAGCTTAATTGAGGAGAGAGAAAAGTATGAATTTACAATTTTATCCATGTTCTTAACAAAAACGTTAACAAAGGACCATTCGTGAAAAATGACACAATAATTAGGGACTAAATTAGTAATATTTGATATGTAAGGACTAAATATGTAAAACGATTTATAACTGAGAACCTTTTATGGAATTTACTCAATTTGTTTTTACATTTGAGGCCAACAACAAAAAACTTAGTACTTTTTGGGATCACGTCCACAAACAGTTTCATTTGAAGCTGGGAAGAGATAACTACTGTACGGTAGACATGTTGACAGGTAAGTGGCGCGACTTGTAGAAAAAGGTCTGGAAGTTCGTCGGACACTTCACCTACCATACAAACAACAGAAAAAAGTGAGTGGGGTGAACAACATATCATCGAAGCTGTTCATGAAGACTTCTAGCACATCGAGGGCTACACTTTTGGTGATACCGAGGCATGGAAGGTTATGTGTAGTCATGATGTGTTTGGTACTAAGTATTATATATGTAATCATTGCTTGGTCTTGATTATAGGACGAGGAACCCTCTTTATCCATTACTAGGGTTGTCTTTTTTGTTACAATCCTAATGTAGCTTACTCTTATTCTTCTTTGGAAATTCTTCAACCTATCTTTCCACTATCTTTCTAAATACAGTGTAATGTAAAGTCACATATATTAAAGTTCATTGCGTTCATTAACCTAAAGCATCATATTATCATTAGGATGATAACACAAAAGAGCATTAACATAAGAACAAAACTTCAACAGTCAAATATTATTATTTCTCTTGTTACAACAATTCTTTACATCAAAATTCAATTCAATTTCTAGACCCTTTATCTGTTTACAAAAGTGGTGAACGTGGGTGAATGTTTAGAAGAAGAAGAAGAAGAAGAAGAAAGATGTCTATACCAATGTGCTGGGAATTGGGAAAATATGGGAAGGCCTAAAAAAGACATCTTCGTGCTTTCATCAGACAACTTTCATCTGTCTACGGGGGCTCATAAACGATTCTCGCGGTTTATCTTTAATGGCTCTTAAGCTTGGAGATGGACACGAATTCATGGATCTTGACGGAGGATGTCTTGCTGGCGAGAGCACTTTGGAAGGATGCAGTGGTGAAGAAAGCGGAGATGAAAATCTTCCCAAAGAATTTGTTCTTGTCACCCTTGCAGGTGAAGCTTCTGGAGACCGATATTGTTGCGTTGTCCCTGCATTCAACATGATCATAGCATGAACTTTCAAGAAATTAAAATGTGGGAGTTATGATATGTAAACTCAGCAAAACAAGAAACTAACCTGCTGCTTCATTGCTCGGCTGTTTTCCTTTCACACTATAGTTAATGATGGCATTTTTCAGTGTTTTTCTTGGATTTGAAGTGGTTGCTTTATGAGGATTATCCGGAGAAGCTGGTGGTCGAGCTGTTATGGAACCGAGAGTTTTCTTTTCTGGGATTTTGGTTAGCCTAAATTTGGCTTTCAT